TTCTTAGTGGACCGCGTCCGTCTTGAGCCGATATTCCAACAGCAGCTGTATGCATATGTAGAGCTCTCGAAGAGTGATAGCAAGTGGCGGATAGCAGCAGCCAATGCGATGACAATCTTGGTGCAAGCAGGCGAGTCATTTATCAGAGCAGACTTGCGAGGTATCCGGGTCCCAGGAGTAGATCTCAGATATGGTATATTTGAGTATGCTCAGCTTCAAGGAGCGGATCTGAGGATGGTCAACTTGCGGAACTGTTGGCTTCGCGAAGCAGACCTAAGTGGAGCAAAGATGGCAGGTGTACAGTTTGGAGAATGGCCACTCCTCAAAGTTGGTGGTTTTGCATTTAAAGGGTCATACTCACCTGATGGCAAAACACTTGCTGTTGTTATCGAAAATGGCTCGCGTAAATATTCAATTGCTATCTATGATACATCAACATGGGAGAAGCTTTCGACTCTGGAAGGTAATAAGATCGGTAAGAGGTTTATATACTCGCCAGACAGTCGATATATCGCCAACTGGAGCCCTTCCCAAGATGATATTCTATCCCCGATTGAATCCCCTTTCCAAACTACAGTTTCAATCTGGAATACAACCTCAGGAGCATTGATTCACCAATTGGGGGGCCATGCAAATCTAGTGAACTGCGTAGTGTACTCGCCAGATGGAAAGCACCTTGCCTCAGCTAGCGATGATGAGTCAGTACGAGTGTGGGATACTCAATCTGGGGTGCTCAAATCCAGCTTAGGGGGCCATACAGGCCGTGTAAGCAGTGTGGCATACTCTCCTGATGGACTCCAGATTGCAAGCGGCAGCTTTGACAATACAGTACGGTTGTGGGATGCGATGTCAGGGCAGCAGCTGATGCAGATGGACCATGGATATGGAATTGAACAATTTGTATATTCAGCTAATGGTCAGGAAATTATATCCTACTGTGCTTTTGATAATTACCTGCATGTGTGGGATGTTGGGTCTGGTCAAAAAAAGTACGAGTTGAGGCATAGGGATTACGTCGGTGGCATTCAGTATTCTCCTAGTGGAAAGCAGGCTGCTTCATTTGACGCGAGAATGGTATACCAATGGAATGTGCAAACAGGAAATCTCATCCATACTCTTCAAGGTCACTCCAATTGTATCACTGACTTGAAGTATTCACCAAATGGAGGACAGATAGCTACTTGCTGTAGTCGCAACACAGTACAGCTTTGGGACGCGAGATCAGGACAACTCATGAATACCTTTTATAGTCACTCTAGTATACATGTGGCATACTCACCAAACAACCATCAACTTGCATCTTTCAGCAGTGATAAAACAATACGCCTTTGGGATACTCGATTACAGCAATCTAATCATGATTCGCATGGCCATTCAGCAGAGATCAATGACGTTACGAGCTCACCGGATGGGCAGCAGATCGCTTCCCGAAGTGATGATGGGACAGTGCGTATGTGGGATACAAGAATAGGACAGCCCATCCATGTTTTACAAGGCCTCAAAAGATACAAGCACACCATGTGCACCATCAAGTATTCACCCGATGGCCAGTTGCTTACTTGCCCTAAACATTTACGCATCTACCTTTGGGACGTCCGAACAGGCCAAGTCACCCACACCTTAGAACTGCAGGGCAGGCGAGGCGATACCATCTACACCTTTGATTTCTCACCTATTGACCATCAAATTGCCTGTGACCATTACGATGGAGATGTGACTATATGGAACACACAAACAGGAGAGCTCATTCACACTCTACAGGGTCATAACAAAGCTGTAATGTGTGTGGTATACTCACCTGATGGCCAACGCCTTGCTTTATATGATGAAGATGGTTATCTTAGGGTCTGGGCAATTCATTCAGGTGACCTTTGTTATGAAGTAAAGGGTAGAGGAACAGCCGACGGCGGTTTTATCAGATACACACCCGACGGTCGCAGGATAGTGGTTTGTGGCGTGTCTTTCTCATATGCGCTGCAAGTACGGAACGCAGAAACGGGTGCGTTTTGCTTCGCAACTGGAACTTATGTAAATGAAGTAACATTTTCACCATGTAGTCAACGGATGGCTGTTGCCTATAATAATGAACGAATTTATGTGTGGGATTTGGAGAGGGAAGTTCTTTTGTATACTCTTAAAGGGCACGCCGCGGAGATCAGAGAGATGGCTTATTCGCCTGATGGGAAGTACATTGCTTCATGCAGTTGGGATAGAACAGTACGAGTGTGGGACGCAGAGGCAAGCAAGTGTTTGGTAGTGATCCCATCTGAAGGTGGAGAAGTTAAGAAGCTTGTGTGGAACACCTTTGAAGGAGGCTGCTTTCTGGTTACAGGATGCATGGGTGGTTCTATTCGGATGTGGCAGATTGTGAAAGAGGGCGATCAATATCAGTATCGACTGAAATGGAGCACCAAACAAACATTTCTTAATGCTAGGAATATGTGTATTCAAGATGTAGTTGGATTGAGCGCAGTCAACAGAGAGCTTCTGATGCAACGAGGAGCAATAAAAGAGCAATCCCAGGCGTTGGTCGTATGCGACGCATCCAAACAGATTGTGACAGCATCACCAATAGGACGCAAGTCCAAAGCGGCCTCAAGTCAAGCTGATAATGATCAAGTCCCATCAATAGAGACATCCCTGGAGACAGAGGCTTTGAGAGCAAGTCAATCGATCAATGACTACCGATTCGAATACAGCATGTGCAGCAAATGTGGGTATGCGCATGTTATTTCATGCAAACCTCGCGGCTAGAGGCGCCAATAAACAGCATGCTATTTAGAATAAGGAAGAGAACAAAAAATATTCTCATAAACCATAATAAATTAAAGAATGCTTTTTTACACATATTTCAGATATGGTGGCAGGTCATAGAGCGCCTTATTCATCAGTCATTTAAAACGCTATGCTTTATGTTAACGACTGCCAGTTGCTGCTACTCCACGACAGACGCTAAAGGGATCCTTCGCACGGTAGTTGCATCAGGCCCACGAACAAGAGGATCAAGAAACCGCTTAAAAAATCGGATAAGAATGTACAGTCTTCATCCAACAAGCCGTAAATTTTTTACGGATTTGTGGATTTTCACTTCTATTCATTTCAATTCAATAAATATATCAAACTTTATTTCTTCTCATTCATTCATTTTCACTCATTCTGATTCACTTCCTTCATGTCATTCAGTAAATCGCGATATTCGTTAAATAGCTCCAATTGCCTTTGAGCTGCAACCCAGCGTTTCAATAGCAGAGGGTCATCGATTTTGCCCCAAGCATCCATAAATCGCTGAAAGTTTTCTTGTAGCTCCATTTATCGTCGGACTGGATGGAGGTGACTCGAGCTCGTCTGATAGCCCTTGGGGATCTGAGTCAAGAACACTGGATTCGTAGTCAACACCATCTTCGTCATCGTCTAGATTATCGTCCTCGTAGACAATATCATCTTCATTGTATGGGACGAAGCGATGCTTGTGCTTTTCAGATGTCGTTATCATCTTAACAGCGTCGAGGATCGACTCTGTAGGCCCTTCACAGTAGTTCATAGTGAGGTAGTTGAGGACCCCGATATCCTTTTGCTTGGTGATTTCTGCCGTTCCTCGCAAGCGGTTATCAGTCACATTGAGATCTATTAAAACACACAAGGTAAAATGGTTTTTTTCTTTTTCCTTTTCCTTTTTTTCTCTCTAGAATGATAGAGATGCCGCCTTACCGAGGTCTCTTTCAGCAGCGAACCACTCCAGCAAAGCATCTTCCGCGGGTTCCATGTTTCGATCGAACTTGCGTTTGACTGCATGACTAGCTAGGAGGGGTAGCGAATTCACGTCTTGAATATGCTCATTTTTTCGGCGATAAATGTCTATTGCCGTGGAAGGGCTCATGCCAAACCTGCTCCAATGGAAGAAACAGAGACTTTGAACCCTTTTGGTAGTTCATCGACGGCTTCAATGAATTTCACTTTGTCGGCTAAGGAATGAGACTTGTGCAGCCTGTGCTTCTTGAGTGCATGTCTCGATCGAGAAGACTGGTTTCTAGGCTTTGTTGGGTTCATTTTTCGAAGCATAAGGATGGATGTGGGAAGTGAATGTGAAAAAAAAAAGTGGTTACGCAAGAACATCGTATAAAGAAAAAATAAAGTTTGATATATTTATTGAATTGAAATGAATAGAAGTGAAAATGCACAAATCCGTAAAAAATTTACGGCTTGTTGGATGAAGACTGTACATCTCCATATGCTTGCTAATTTCCTATGTTTCGACTAAAAGAGTCGGGGGGGTTTTTTTTTCTCCCGCTGGAGATGCCGAAGTTTTGAATAAGTAGCCCCAGGTTTGGATACAACGTAGCTTGAAAAGTTGTCGATCAAGCAATGCCGACTGGGGGTTTCAGGTGTCAAATAAAACTGTATCCTCCAACTCATTTGGTCAGTGATTCATATATTTTCTATTCAAAAAACGATGATTGATTTGATTTGGTGGCTGATTTCGACATTTCACCCGTGACGAACTGGTGCCAAGGAATATAATTGGCTCCCAATTCAATCAAGATTATTCAAAAATATATGAATTACTGACCAAATGGGACGGAGTATAAATACATCATTCTTTTCGTTCTCGTTACTTGTTATGATCCTGGTATATTTCAGTTATACGCGAGGTCTCATGTGTTTAATTCTCCCGCATCCAGCGAGACAAGAATTCGGTCATGAACAATCCAAGTCATTTGGTCATTGACTTGACAGAGTCCAGCGATAGACCATTATAAAACCCAATAAACTGGATTCACATGGATCTCAGGGCAATGTGTGCTGTTCGCTCTTGGTTTAACAGAATTCTTGACGGAGCTAAAAAGAGCGAACAGCACAGATTTCAGAGGCATGACTCTTGTGACACTAAAGAAACCAAAGAAGTAAAGATGGATTCTGAATTTCTCACGGTCTAAAGGGTCGAAAGAGCAAAAGAACGACATAAATAAAAATGTAAAAAAAAAAAAAAAAAAAAACATCATTTTCTTAATTCATCTTTCTTTCTCATTCTCATTCTCTGTCTCATTCCGCATTCTGCTTGAATTTTAAGCCATGACTATTCTAACCATTGACAATTTCATCAACAATGAGTACGTAAAGCCCAGCCGAGGCCTTTACCTCGATTCACTAGAACCCGCCCGTGCCATTACTTTTGCCAAAGTTCCTGATTCAACCAAAGAAGATCTTGAGCTTGCGTATAAAGCCGCTGCTGCTGCCTTCCCTGCCTGGTCCAAGACTACTAAGGAACATCGTGCCAAAATCATGTACAAGATTGCAGATCTGATTGAATCCCGCCTCGACGAGTTCGCCCAGGCTGAGTCTAAGGATCAGGGAAAGCCTGTAGAGGTGGCCAAGACCATGGATATGCCCCGTGTCCTCGCAAACTTTCGCTTCTTTGCGGGATCTATCCTTCACAGCAGAGAGCATGCTACAGAAGCCCTTGGAGCTCTTAGTTATACGCAGCGAGTGCCAATTGGTGTAGCAGCATTAATCTCACCCTGGAATTTGTAAGTTTTTGCTCTTTTTTAAAAAAAAACATTCGTTTGTTTGCTTCTTTCTAACAGCAATCCATGTCCCCTTTGTCATTCTCATGACAAATTATCCCCCTTCTAGGCCACTATACCTTTTGACATGGAAGATTGCACCTTGCATTGGTAAGAAGTGAAAAGATCAGGGGTTTTTTAAACTAAGATGACTGTCTATTAGATGATCTTTAATTTCCTTTTTTGTATTAACATTTCCCTAATTTGTACTAAATGTATTCTCCCGTTGCCTTCTTCTACAGCCTGGGGAAACACGGCTATTTGCAAGCCCTCTGAATTTACGTCATACACAGCCCATCTTTTGACCTCGGTTCTAAAGGAAGCAGGTTTACCTGCGGGTGTTGTGAATATCGTTTATGGAACCGGTATGGGAGTTGGTCAAGCCATGGTTGAGCACCCACGCATTCCTATTGTTTCATTCACAGGTGGTACGGTCACAGGTGCAAAGATCATGGCCGCCACTGCTCCACACTTTAAAAAAGTTTCATTGGAGTTGGGTGGTAAGAACGCCAACATTGTATTTGCAGACTGCGATTTCGAAAAGGCCTTGAAAACGAGTGTGCTCTCTGGGTTCGCAAACCAAGGTGAGATTTGCCTTTGTGGATCGAGAGTCTTTGTCGAAAAGCCCATCTATGAAAAGTTTGTACAGAGATATGTTGAGGCTGCTAAAGCACTTAAAGTTGGAGACCCCAGTTTGAAGGATACAAACTTGGGAGCGCTGATTTCGAAAGAACATTGGGAAAAAGTGATGAGCTATATCAAATTGGGTGTGGAGGAAGGCGGCAAGATCGAGTGTGGAGGACAGAAACCGGCGTCACTCGCAGAAGAATTTCAAAATGGTTATTTTATGGAGCCAACCGTCATAACTGGGTAAGTAAAAATGTGGTGCTTCTAGAACGGTTTTTTTTTTTTTTTTTTTTTTTTTTCTTTTTCTTTTTCTTTCTCTTTTTTTTTCAAAAAGAAAAAGTTGTATTTACGGCTGGATAAAATTATGTTGTTAGCTTGACTCCGTCTTGTCGTACAATGCGCGATGAAATCTTTGGACCTGTTGTGACGATTTGTCCTTTTGAAACGGAAGAAGAAGTAATTCAATATGCCAACGACTCTGATTATGGTCTCTCATGCACAATCTGGACTGAGAATGGTCGCCGTGCTCGCAGGGTGGCAAGCGAGATCCAAGCTGGAACTATCTGGGTGAACACTTGGCTGGCACGTGATCTGAAGATGCCATTCGGAGGGTTCAAGAAGAGTGGTGTAGGACGTGAAGGTGGTGAATATTCCTGTGACTTTTACACGGAACTCAAGACCATTTGTCTCGCAGGCTGAAAGAGCCTTGTCATATTTATATATAATGCATCAATATCAATTCTATTAAAAAATGAAAAATAAAAAATAAAAATTTACAAAAAAAAAGGTGTTCAAATTTAAACTTAAGTTCAATTATAAGCGCTGCGCCAGAGCCATGTAATACAAAGGGACACTAAGAAGGATAATAATAAAAAGACAAAACTAAAAGTAACATTAATATAAGAAAAGACAATAAATTGGAATAATTCTCTTGTTCTCAAGGAGATGATGGATCGGGAATTGTCCAGATCCCAGCACCACGTTGTTGTTCCTGTCGTTAACAGTTTCTTCGGTCTTTTGGTATTAGCTCTCAAGAAATAGTTTCTCTACATCCTCAAGATGTCGCATACACAAGAATAGAACCTTCGGCGTTGATTCCGAAAACTGATGCATAGATTCGGCATTCGATTTTTTATTTTTATTTTATTTTTTGTTCTATACAATCTGTATATAAAAATATATATATTATATATATATATATGAGCATTTGGACCTAATGGAGCAAAAGAGCGCAGTTCTTGGTCCATATTTTGTTTAAACATGAATCTTATTGATCGGGCTTTATCTTTTATAGATATTTTTTCTTTTTACTGATGGATATTCGGTTCTTTTTCTCTATATGATCAATCATTTGGGGTGAATGGAGCTACAGAGCGCAGCCCTTGGTCAATATTTTGTATAAACATGAATCTTATTGATCGGGCTATTTATTATAATTGTTTTTTTTTTTTTTTTGTTTTGTTTTTCAGATTGTAAAGAAAAAGGATAAAAAAAAAAGGGTCAAAGCTCGATGATCATGCATGTAAAACAGAGAAAAAAGGCTTTCTGTCAGTTGATTGAGGGCGTTGAAGAAAGCAAGAGAGTTGTATCTATACTTTGTCAAGACTTGGAGATGCATTTTCTATCAACAAACAGTAAACATGTATGACCATGTAAGCATGAATGGTCGTCCTCTTCACTATGATGAGGCATTAGCATTCCACATGACTACAACAAATCAAAACAAGGAAAATGCGCCCACTTTATGTTATTTGTTTTGACTGGACTAGTGTAAAAAAAAAACAAGGTCCGTTTGCTCTTGTGCATGTCGTACAGACAACAGGACAATTGCTCTTTTCTGTCTTTTTTAATGCATACAAATCCACCATCTCGATCTCTGTTGGTTAGTTCTTGTTTAATCAGAAAGTTTACCCTCTCTGATCATCATTCTGCATTGTGCTTTTCATTCATTGTTTCATTGTTACATTGTATATATATGTAAAAGTCAAACGTTGTCAGTCATGTTGGTGATATTGATCTTCCCGCAGTCGAATCGGAATGAAGTTAGGCCGATTCAAGAGGCCAGAACCTCTTTTTTTTTTTTTACTTTACTGCTTTATAATTCATTCATCTCTCATACTCTCTCTCCTCATAGCCCTTTCTTAGTATACTTATATTCTACTCTTTCTCACGTTGTCTATTATCTTTCTAAGTAAAATAAAAAATAAAAATAAAAGCCTCTCTACCTTTTGAAAATCCTCTTAAAAGGAAACCTGTCTGTCATTCACTCTGTTTCTTTTTTATCGTTTCCGTTTTCGTTTTCGTTTTCCTTACTCCCCTCTACCTCATTCATTCATTCATTTCTCTTTTCAGGTCCATTTCTTTTTTATATATCCGCGCGTCATGTCTGCCATTACTTCAATCTTTCAATATCTCTTCACACATGCCACACATAAAAACAATGCAAAGTTGGCAGTGGCCTTCTTTGCCTTCTTCCTCTACAAGTACCGTGGCCATGCCCTCGGAACTCGTCGCCGTCATGACCTCAAGGAACCCAAGGGTGCACTTCCCTTTTTGGGACACATGACCCTGCTCTCCTCTATTCCCCCAACGGAACTTTACCAGTTCTTTGAGAAACTGAATGAGGAACTCGGACCTGTCTGGTCCATTTCCCTTCCTAACCTTCGCATGATTCAGATTGATACGCCCGAGAACATTGAATATGTACATAAAACCAACTTTTGGAGTTACGAGAAGGGTCCAATGTTCAGAGACGTCATGGGCGTACTCTTTGGCGATGGTAAACTAATACATCCTACATCCTCCTCCCACTCTACCTCCCCCCTTTGTTTGTATTGGGTGCACTTGCTAGTAAGAAAAAAAAATACTAAACCGCTCACTCTTTTTTTTTTATTATTATTCTTTTTTTCCTCCTTCAGGAATCTTTGGCGCTGATGGAGAAGAATGGAGGTTCCAACGCAAGCTTGCAAGTCATATCTTCAGTGTCAAAGCCTTTCGTGAATACACAACCGATGTCTTCGTTGTCGAAAGTAAAAAAGTCCTTGAACATCTCGGCAGGGCTGCTGATCAAGGCAAAATTATCGATTTCCATGATTTGATGAACCGTTTCACGCTCGATAGCTTTGGAACGTACGAACCCCCAAAGCTCTTTTACATTAAAGCTACTGTTGAGAATACTCTAATTGGTCGATTCTCTAGACTCATCAAACTGACTGACCTTTTCCGCTTCCTCTCTTCCTTTCTCTCTCTATCTGTCTATTTTCTATCTTTCTATCTTTCTATCTTTCTATCCTTCCTTTTCCCTTTAACAGAGTCTCGTTTGGAGAAAGTTTTGGCTGTCTCGACGATATTACCAAGGAGGTCGAGTTTGCGTTTGCGTTTGATGACCTGGCAGAGATTTGCAGTTTCCGCCTCATTGATCCTTTCTGGAAGCTTCGTGAGCGCCTTACGAGTTTGGGCAAGAGAGCCAAGATGGATCGAGATGTGATCCGCGGCCATGCGCTCAGAGCCATCCAGAAACGCAAACAAGAAGGTCATCATGGACATCGAAAAGATCTTCTCCAGCTTTTTATGGATGCCAAGACTGAAAATGGAGAGCCATTATCGGATGATATGATGATTGATATCTTTTTGAATTTCACAGTAAGGTTCTTTTTTATCTCTCTAATGATCTCTGTGCTGAACTCTAGATTGGCTTTTTTTTGTCTAACTTTTTTTTTTTTTTTTTTTTTTTTTTTTTTCCTAGCTTGCAGGACGCGATACTACCGCTCAGGCATTATCATGGATGATGTATGCTCTCCATTGTGATACCACAGACAAGAGTATTATTAAAGAGCTTATGGAAGAATCAGATAGAGTCCTTGGAGGACAGGACCCTACATATGACACATTCAAGAAGCAGAAGATTGCAGAAGCATGGTAATGTTGAGTGGACGACTATTCTATTTTGCTTCTTTTCTGTATCGCGTCCGTATAGCTTGCTTGCATATGTGAAGATTATTATGGGACTAACGCTGCATCATCTCTGGTCACTTTCATCTTTTTATCTTTTTCCCTTTTTGACCTGTTTATGAATCCCTATAGCTTCCATGAGAGTATGTTAAGAAATCAAAGACTGGAGTTTTGGCGTAAATTTTTCATTCCAAAGATAATTTTGGTGCTCGCAAGACTTACATTTTTATCCTTTCCTTTTTTAAATGTAGCATTGCGCATCTTCCCTCCAGCGCCCCGTAACTTAAGAATCTGCAACAAGGATGATGTTTTACCAGACGGTACCAAGATCTACAAGGGCGAGCGAATCACCTGGAGCCCTTATGTGATGGGTCGAAGCGAACGTATCTGGGGTCCTGATGCTAAGCAGTTCAAGCCTTCTCGCTGGATCAATACTGAGAAGCCATCTCAAGGAAAGTTTAATGTATTCCACGTGGGCCCTCGTGTCTGTCTTGGTCAGCAATTCGCGACTATCGAGTCATTGACCTTGGCAGGGATGATGTTTGAAGCCTTCGAGTTCGAGCTGGTCGATCCTTCAAATGAGCCCAAGTATGCTGCATCTGTCAGTTTCCCTATGCAAGGTGGTTTACCCATCCGAGTCTTTAGAAGACCTCCAAAGACCACAGTTTAAAAAATATATATATATTAAGAATAATAATAATAAAAAAAAACTGTTCATATAAGGATCCGTGGTAGATTTGTGGTATTTAACTTCTCTAAAAAAAGGTTTCTGTGGATAATGAAATGATGATATAGAAGAATAGAGATCATAGAGAGAGGTTCCTTGCCCGCGAAACGGAATGATCGGATCGATACACTCGGCAAAAATGAATGTGGACTGAGGGGGCATTTTGCTTTGCTATAAAGTATGCGCGTTCTGTCTTTTTTTTTTTTTTTTTTTTTTTTTACTCCTCAATCTTGCCAACTTCTTTGACAAACTCATCAACTCATTATGCATGTTCAAGACAAGGTTGCCATCATCACTGGCGCTTCTTCAGGTCTGTCACATTTTTTTTTTTTTTTTTCTTACAGTTTTCATTTCATTCATGTGTAAGCAACAGCATTAGCTATTTTAGTCGTGAGTTTTGAACCGATCACTCATTACATTTACATTACTCTTTTTGTTGCAATTAAAAAAAAAAAAAAAAAAAGGTTTCGGTAGAGCACTTGCATTGCGACTCGTTAGCAAAGGGTAAAGACGCATATAACAAAGAGCACAATTGTACAATTTTTTTTTTTTTTTTTTTTTTTTTTTTCATTTTATTAATTAATGATATTTTTGTTTATAATCAGCGGCAAGGTCATTCTTGCAGATATCGATGTCAAGGATGGAGAACAATTAGCCAAAGAGTTGAATGAAGGGTAAAAAAAAAAAAAAAAAAAAAAAAAGCTAAAAAGTGTTGAAGCTTTTTGCTTTCCGAGCTTGTTTCTAATTGCTTTTTATTTTATTATTCTTTTTTTAATTTAACAGCAAGAACCAAAAGGTGGCACATTTTATCAAGGTCGATGTTACAAACCCCAATGAGCAAGCAGAGATGTTCCAAGCAGCCGAGAAATATTTCGGAAGGGTTGATATCATCGTGAACAATGCAGGGATTGCGGAACTTACACCTTTATGGGAGGATGAAAAGGGAACCTGGAGAAGAGTGCTGGATGTTGATCTTATTGCAGTTATTGAAGGAACCCGTCTTGGAATTCAGGCCTTAAAAAAACATGGTCAAGGAGGAAGAGGCGGAGTTATTATCAACACAGCCTCATTGGCGGGTATTTACCCTCAATCATACGTACCAGCGTACTCGGCAGCAAAGTCTGGCGTCATCGCCCTCACTCGTTCATTCAAGAACTTTGGCGATAATATTCGTGTGAACGCTGTGGCACCGAGGTGTGGCTCAATACTTGTTACTTTTTTTGTTTCGAAAAAAGGATACAATCTTTTTAGAAAATCATTTCTAACCCCATTCCCGCCCCTGAAAAAAAAAAAAAAAAAAAAAAAAAAAAAAATCATGACACAGCTTTAGCGAGACAAAGATTTTTCCTGCGTTCGAAGAAGCATTCAAGGCCCTTGGGGAGACCTTTAATCCTGTCGAGCGGGTCATTGATGCATTTATGATGCTGATCGAAGACGATTCTTATAGAGGCGATGTCTTACGAGTTACTCCTCAGTACGGCATTACTGTCCTGGACCGTAGAGGTAAAGCCAAGCTTTGAGTGACAATGACAGGAAAGTATCAATGTGACTGCTGGCAAAAATTGTCGCGTGAACTAGTGACCTAGGGGGATTTTGTTTATTAAAATGTCAAAAACGAATCTCCAAACTTTGTTTCTTAATGTCCATATCCACATGTGTAAAAAAAAAAAAAAAAAAAAAAAGCGACAAAGAGCTTTTTTATTTAAAAGAGATGAGATGAAATGAGCTTGTTATGGATCTTTACGAGAGGGAAATAAAGGGCTGAAGACTTTGTCTTTGACGATGCGTCAGATCAAGCTTAAACACTGCGCATCATAAACATGCCTATTGGTTCTTTGTACCTACAATATGACCAAACAAAATAATAATAAAAAAGACCCGAGATAAGAGAGCGTCAACCTGTGGCATGTAACATTGCCTGGAACAATGCCATACATGTTTGCTGTTGGATCTATAATGTGGCGAATATCGCATGATGCATGGAAAAAGAAAGTAAACTTGGACAAAAAAAAAACTTATCTCAAAGCGTATTAAACACGTTGACTTATCGGGCAAAAAAAAAAAACGTGGTTGGGACTGTCATTTCAATGGAAAAAGACGCGCTCACAGAGGAGGAGGAAAATAACAAAAATTTGTTTGGTGGTAGAACGAATACAAACACGCGTATCTGCTCCGAAAATGGGACAGGAGCACAGAGAAGCAAGCATATCCACATGAACATGCATTTATTTTCTGAGCCTATCCCTTGCAATTACATGATGCTTAAAGGGAAAGGCAATGATGTTTTTCATGTGTAGTCAGTGCATGAGATAAGGATATGTGGCGCTGCCAACTGCAATTACATTTACATCTAATACGATACATTGTGCCATCTTGCATTAAACACAAAATGGGGGGCCACACTCATCAACGGTCTTTTTCTGTTTTTTTTTTTTTTTTTTTTTCTCCTTTCCGACTACATCCACGAATCTTTCTTTTCCGATGTTTAGTAATGTTGACTCGAGACCATCATCATCAAGACATGAGGAACGGTCCGTGGTCTAACTCCAGACTTTAGAGCCTTATAAATACCAGGCACCTCGCCCTGATCTTTCTCCTTGGTACAGCCTTCCTCAAGATCCTCTCTTAACCCATCTCTTACTCCCCACCAATCTGATTACCAGCTTTCATCTTGGTTTGCTTGGAGATCGATAGGACAAAACGGCCAAAAAAAAGAAAGAAAAAAAAAAGCGTTCATCAGTGGTAGATGCCCCTCGTTTATGCCTATTTAAATCAATTTGGTCCCCCTTTTTCTATCTTTACAACTCCATCCTTTTTCTTGAATACCACCATACCACCATACCAATATTTTTATACACCTCAACTCTTGACTGCTTCAGTTTCAGTGGTGAAAAAAAAAAAAAAAGAAAGAAAATAAAAACCCAAAATGGTTGCTGTTTTGAACCAAGGCTTAGGATATGGAATCGGTAAGTGATATGCAAAACATGTTTAACATTCTTTGTAATTTTTGCTTGACAGCCGGACTGATAGAGGTTGCAATTTTATTTTTTTAAAAAAAAAAAAAAGTCTTGGGTTTCGGACTGGTATTTGCAGGTATCATGACCTTGATCACTATGATCCAAAAGCGTTTCTTGGGCGAGAAGATTACCTCGGAAGAATACATGGCTGCTGGTCGAAATGTTAAGACGGGCTTAGTTGCTTCAGCTGTTGTGTCATCATGGACATGGGCAGCTACTTTGTTACAGTCATCCTCGGTTGCTTACAAATATGGTATTTCAGGTCCTTTTTGGTATGCCTCTGGAGCTAGTGTACAGGTAAAACACACAGCAGTATTATCACCTCCGCCGCTACAAAGAAGAAAATAACGAAGAGCTTGACTTCCACCGAGGATTCTCTGACCATCTGAGGGGTTTTTTTTTTTTTTTTTTTTTTTCTTTTTGCCAAACAGGTGTTACTGTTTTCAGTTCTGGCTATCGAATTGAAGCGCAAGTGTCCTAACGCACACACTTTTCTTGAGATTATCTCAATCCGCTATGGCCGCAAAGCTCATTTCGTTTTCTTGTTCTTTGGACTACTTACTAATATCATTGTCAGTGCAATGCTATTACTCGGTGGTTCTGCAGTGGTAACTGCTTTGACGGGGATGAACACTATTGCAGCCTGCTTCCTGTTACCTCTAGGTGTGATTATCTATACACTCTTTGGAGGTCTCAAAGCGACATTCGTGGCAGATTATACACACACAGTTGTCATTATGTTCATCGTCCTGCTCTTCAGCTTTACTGCGTATGCGAGCTCAGATCTGATTGGAAGCCCCGGTAGGATGTATGATCTATTGCATGAAGCTGCTGAACGTCATCCGGTCAGCGGAAACCATGCAGGAAGCTATTTAACGATGGCCAGCTCACAGGGACTGATGTTCGGTATAATCAACTTGTGCTCCAACTTTGGAACGGTCTTTATCGATAATGCCTACTGGCAGCGTGCCATAGCTGCTTCTCCCCATTCGACAGTCAAGGCTTACCTGATCGGCGGCCTCTCCTGGTTTGCTATCCCCTTCACATTGGCGACAACACTCGGTATTGCGGCAGTAGCCCTTGAATCGAACGAACGTTTCCCAACATTCCCCAATCGTATCTTACCCAGTGATGTCTCGGCTGGTCTGGTGGCTCCTAATGCAGCTGTTGCACTATTAGGCACAGGAGGAGCCGTGGCGGTTTTGCTATTGGTTTTTATGGCGGTTACTTCCGCTGCCAGTGCTGAGCTGATTGCGGTTAGTTCTGTCTGCACCTTTGATGTCTACAGAGCCTATATTAATCCTATGGCTACTGGTAAACAGCTCATCAGAGTCTCGCATGCGGTTGTCGCCGGATTTGGAATCATCATGGGTGTCCTTGCTGTGATTCTTAAAGAGGCAGGAATAGATCTTGGATATCTTTATTCTTTAGTAAGGAAGAAATGAAAAAAAAAAAAGAAAAAAAAAAAGAAAAAAAAAAGGTTGATTAAGTCTAATTGATTTTTTATTTTATGGTTTGATAGATGGGTGTGTTGATCTCCTCCGCTGTGCTCCCAGTGACATTTTCACTCATGTGGAAGAAACAGAATGCATTGGCTGCAATTGCTGGTCCCATTGGAGGACTATGTATCTCCATTCCTGCTTGGCTCATCTGTGCGAAGTTGTATTCGGGTGAAATCACTATTGCAACCACTAGCACGGATCAGGCGATGTTGGCTGGCAACCTGGCAGCGTTGATCAGTGGCGGATTGATTTCAGCCATCATTTCATGGATCAAGCCCGACAACTACACGTTTGAAGGTACACGATCATTGCGACAGGTCACGGATGACGCTACGCCCACACCTGAAAGTAATAATTCAACGGAAGATATATCTGTGATGGATGAGAAGAAAGAGTCAAAGATTAGAGTGACAACAACAACGACAGCTGTAGAAGTGACGCAGCCCAAGGAAGAGTGGAGCTTTGATGCTGAAGAGGATGCCAAGCTGGCAAGGGCCTCGAGGTTTGCTCGCTGGAGTTCTGGTACGATGACGGTGGTCTTGATCCTTCTGTGGCCTTTGCCCATGTTCTTTTCGAATTATGTGTTCTCTCGTGGCTTCTATACCGGATGGGTGATACTCAGTATTATTTGGGCCATCTGTTCGACCATTGCAGTAACGATCTACCCGATTTGGGAGTCGCGTGGAGCCATTGGAGAGGTCTTTAAGGGGATGTATAACTTTATTACCGAAAAGCAATCTACTGCGGTTGTTTAAACGAGAGAAGAGAGGCGGTCTTGTATACGACTTTTAGTCTGTTTTCATAACAATAATAAACAAAAGATTTAGAGTGTGTGTTTGTGTTGAACGCATTTGAAATGTGGAGATCTTGTTCCACATGTCATGCGCACTATTGTAATCTTATCGCGTCCAACTGTGTCATAAACAAATTCACCCTTCCACCCAGTTGCAGATCAAAAAAAAAAAAAAAAAAAAGTCTTGTTTGCCATGTTCTATTCTGCCCTGTCCTATCTTAGGCCTGCCTTTGTCTTTATCTCGATCCTTTATCTTTCTATCAATCTATTTCCTTCCCTATCTTTCTTTTTTTTTTATTCTTTTTTATCATTCTCCTTTCTTCACCTACTTTCAACCGCCATTGCCATCACAAGTCTCAACCAAAAGCATTTCAACTTCATTTGTGCATCTCATTCCTGTTGTACATTTGATCTTTTTATAATCTTGTAACATACTCCTACTTTCATTCAACTGATCCTCAACATCATCCCTCTTACCCGATGGCAACTTCAGATCCTCTTCCTTCCTCTCCCTCAGCTCATTCCCCCAACAACACTTCTCGCACGGTACCATTGACAGAACTACCAGAAACGAGTCAGATCATCCTCAGTAATAAGCCCAGACTTATCAATGTCACTCATCAGATCCCATATACCGGCACCCTCGTCCCTCGCAATTCATCGTCCTCCTTCAATGCATCCCCTGCGGCTGCTACTGCTACTTCTTCAGGAACAGAACCGATCACAGGATCAGGATCGGAATCTGGATTAGGACTAGGACCATCCATAGCCAATAGGCGTGCCTCATCTATTACATCGCTAACCTCACGCCAAAGCGGGGAAGTAGAGGTAGAATGGGTCTTTCAACAACGGCGTGGCCACTCAGCTTTGTACTCTGGAATCCAATCACTCCGTCAGGAACTAGATACTATCCAGATCGGCTGGGTTGGTGAGCTAGCTGATCAAGACGGATATGTCATTCCCTGCAAGAACTTGACAGAGTCACACAAACAAACCTTGAAGGACTTGTTCTGGGACAAGGAAAAGGTCGTACCCATCTTTTTGGACGATAGCCGTGCCATGGGCCATTACGAAGGATATTGCAAATCAGGCATGTTACTGTAGTCCTATGATCATTGAAAGGCCTAAAAAAAAAAAAAAGCCCTTTACGCTACTAAAAGAAACCTGAATCAACGCACGAGCCAACTGTTAATAACTTCGGATTTCACTTTCTTTTAATTACAAATAGTTCTTTGGCCATTGTTTCACTATATCTTATGGAACCAAGCGACAAACGGCAGGACCGAAAAGAGAAACTGGGATGATTATGTGTTTGTGAACCAACAATTTGCGGACACCATTGTTGAGCAATATCAACAAGGCGATATCAGTAAGAAAATTTTTTTATTATCATTCATATTTCAAATTTACGAGATGTTTCTGAAATCTAATCAATTCTAATATCACAAATATGATTCACATGATAGTTTGGATTCATGACTATCACCTTCTCTTGGTCCCACATATGGTTCGCCAAAAGCTTCCGGGTGCAGCAATCAGTGTCTTTATCCATGCACCATTCCCATCTTCCGAGATCTTTAGATGTCTACCAAGTAAGTTTTAGTTATCATTCAAAATCATCTTTTTCTGTCTTGTTATCATAATACAATATACCAAAGTCACTTAGCGCCCTGTTTATACTGATTTCTTTATCTTGTAATACATTAAAATATTCTGTGCTTAGAGCGCGTTGAGATCCTGAATGGTCTCTTGGGAGCAAATCAAATCGGTTTTCAGGTATAGAGAAAGAATGATAAAGAGAACAAGCATGTTTTTTTTTTTTTTTTTTTTTTTTTTTACTTACGTTGTCATGTAATCCGTCAACTCTTGTATAGACATATGCCTATGCCAGACATTTCATTAGCTGTTGTACACGTGTTAATGGGTATGAATCAACACCACGCGGTGTTGATGCGATGGGCTCCACTGTGTGGGTAGGAACATTCCCAATTGGCATTGATGCCGAAAGAGTCGAACGTCAGTGCAAATCATCAGGCGTCCTACCAAAGATGGATGCTATCCGCAAGACCTATAAAGGAACACGCATTATTGTCGGGCGAGACAAATTGGATCTTGTGAAGGGCGTTCAACAGAAATTGCAGGCATTTGAAAAATTCTTGAGTGACTATCCGGAATTACATGGTCAGGTGGTTCTGATTCAGGTCACATCTCCCCCATTGGTGGAAAATCCAAAACTGGAAGCCAAGGTTGCAGAAATGGTTGCTCACATCAACGGAACTTATGGATCTCTCAACTTTACGCCTGTACACCACTACCATCAACACATTGATCGGGATGAATATTATGCTCTACTATCTGTTGCAGATATCGGCTTGATCACTTCTGTGAGAGACGGCATGAATACGACCTCATTGGAGTACATCATGTGCCAATCAGAAAACCATGGACCTCTTATTTTGAGTGAATTTACTGGAACAGCTGGTAGTTTGAGTGGCGCTATGCTGGTCAACCCATGGGATTACCAAGGAGTGGCCAAAACAATTTATGATGCTTTGAATCTAAGCGAAGAGGACAAACGTGATCGTCATGCCGTAAGTGGCTTCCATCTATAGTGTTGCTGAACAAGTAAATATTGATGATGATGTGATGATGAAGCTAAGCAGGTTTTCTAACTTGATACCATTCTTTTTTTTTTTTTTTTTTTTTTTTTTTTTTGTCTATATAGCAACTCCACAAGCATGTTCTCCGTCACACTGCTCAGTTTTGGGCTAAAAGCTTTATCGAGGAATTGACATTGCATGCATCTACCTGGGATCAGTCTACCCCGACTCCATATCTTGATCACGATAATATTATTGATCAATACCACAAGGCCAAGAAGCGTCTTCTCATGTTTGACTATGATGTATGCCTTAAAGATCGTCCTATCTACTATATACTGTCACAGTAAAAAAAATAAAAAAAAAAAAAAAAAAAGGGGGGTGTTCAAAAAACTAACCGATTCTTTTTTCTACTTATTCAAATACTTTAGGGAACATTGACACCCATTAGAAAAACACCGGGTGCAGCGGTTCCTCAGGAACATATGCTGAAGGCCTTATCAGCGCTTGCAGCTGACCCCAAGAATATAGTTTGGATCATCTCTGGTCGAGATCAGCAAGTTTTGGAGGAATGGCTAGGTCATGTAGAAGGCTTGGGCTTCAGTGCCGAGCATGGGTCGTTCATGAGACAACCAGGAAGCACAAAATGGTCCAATCTGACAGAGACATTGGATATGAGCTGGAAGAATGATGTGACTGAGATTTTTGCATATTACACAGAGCGTACTCAAGGTAAACATTTGATCTATTCAATCACGGTATTGTAGGATCTGTCATAAAGTGCATAATGTATTCATCTCTGTTTTGTAATCATTGATTTGGTTAATAGGGTCCTTTATCGAGCATAAGCGATCCTCAATAACGTGGCACTATCGCATGGCCGATCCGGAATTTGGGGCTTTCCAGGCTAAAGAGTGTCAGAACCATCTCGAGAATGCAGTCCTCTCCAAGCTGCCCGTGGAGATTCTTGTAGGCAAAAAGAATCTTGAAGCCCGTCCGACCATTGTTAACAAAGGAGAGATTGTCAAAAGACTGCTGAGCCAGCATCCGGATGTCGAGTTTGTATTGTGTGCTGGAGATGATAAAACAGATGAAGACATGTTTAGAGCTATGGCCGGAAGTAATAATGCACACAACAGTCGGAAAGATTCAAGCACAGTCATTGAATCCTACAAGGAGACCCATGCTACAGAGACGGAGGCCAAGTCGAGCGAGGTTACGAATGATTCCTTTGTGAGCCAGGATGGATCCAAAATGGCCACTACCTCTGATGATGCATCTTCTACATCTTCTGCATCCTCAATCAGAACGGATTCGTCGCTTTCATCCCAGTCAGCTCTGTCCTCGCATTCGAACAGTATCTCTGGACATTTCTCCATCACCATTGGTCATGCTCTCAAAAAGACGCTCGCTGACTGGCATGTCACCAGCCCTGAAGAGTTGATCCGAGTGCTTGGTATCCTCTCTGGCACTATAGACAATTGATTTCCATGATATTTTTGCATAAAGTTAAAAAGTACGTTTTCTTCTTTAAACTTTAAAGCCCCACAATGTGTTGAAGCCATTTAAAAAACTGTTTTTAAAGAAGCAAGCGGGCAATCGTGGGAGTACAACGCAAACCTCTCTCGAAATACACTATAGACGTGACTGTGAAAGATTGCTGATTCCTAACTAGTCTAAGCGTGTTTGCTTACACACACAAATCTTCTAGACTACGCTAATTTAATGTAGCATTGAATTGATTGAATTGGATGAAAAATATTTTGTAGACAGATAGTAAGAAAAGTAAGTGAGAATAAGATGTGGGTCCACACACCACACCCATGGGATATTTATTCATTTCTGATAGAGGGACTTGTACCAGGTAACTACGTATCTATCTATGAGATGACAAAGGTTCGTTCTAAAAATCTCATATCCAAAGATTTATCGCGTCAATGTGTGGCGCGTTATTGCCACCAATTTCTACTGCTAATCTTTTTTAACGTATATTAATTTTGGTTGGAAATTTGGTATTTTTCCTAGTTTTTTTCTAGCTAGGCTATCATATTATTGTATACTGTCAAATATGCAGCATATTATATAAACACTGCCCTGTTTGTGCTGTGTAGTTTGCTTAATAGTGAATGATGTCGCTACGTTCTTTTTCTGGAGGCTTAACTTCTCCCATGAGACCCACTATCTCTGAATTAAAGACCGTGGGGAAAGCTCGACATGGAACCTCAATAAAAAAGTTTGATCTTACTCCTTTATCATGTCCAGATTTTGTAGCGTTCCCGGAGTCATGTTTTAATATTATACAGTAATATAAAGTAGCTTCGTTGCCCGAACAGAACATCTAAGAAATAATGGAGGCGGGTCAAGATAAAGCCTATCTCCCCTTGTTCTTTCTTTCTTTTGCCTGATGTGACCGATCCATTTGTCTTTTGTTGTTGTGTTCTTTTAGCTCCTGATACAACAGATTCACTACCTGAATTTGAAACAGCATCAGAGGAAGTCGTTTCACTGATGGAGCTTAAACGATTACAAAACAACAAATCAAGATATCAATGGCGTCAAAATTAACTAAACATTCCTATACCATCCTTCTTGTTATTAAAGAGTCGACCTTGTCGCTCTTTTTAGTTAGACCGTTTCAAATATATATGCTTTACTTAACAAAATTCTTGTAATTGAAATGGAGTCGGTAAAGCCATGTTGGTCAAGTCATAAGCTATTGTATGTCCTAATTATGGTTGAAGGGTTAAGTATTTCAGGCCATACTGCATCGCACGCAACGAAGTCACAGACATACAGCATACTTTCCCCAGAATGGCCTATATACAGCCTCGCTCAGTTATCATGATGAGCTCCTTGCAAGAGAGACAACATGCAGCCCATGTACGGTGACACCATGTTAGTTATCAGCGAAGTGTAAAAACATTTCAGGTCGTACTATATTGCACACATCGAAGACACAGACATATAGCGTGGTTATTCCCAAAATATTAATACCGCCTTACTGATCAGAAATGTATTTGTTACTATTACCTTAAGCTGACGAGAGAAAGAAGAGATAGAGATTAATTTAAAAAAAAAAAAAAAAAAAAAAAAAAAACTGCTCTTCTTGTGAGTGTATGGGTGATTAATCGAGGACAAGACAATAAAAAAATGTGAAAGAATGCAGCGATGTGGAAGGAGCTGAACAATCAAACAAAAAAAGTAGGCAGTGAGAGAGGAGAGATGGAGTGGGCGGTGAAACTGAGGTATAAAAAAAATGCGCAGTAGAAAAATAATCAGACGCGTAAATGAGAAAATTGGGCTTTAATTAAACAGAGTTGATCCCATACGGCATATGATAAGGTTAATTGTATATGGATGAGTTCTGATCATCCTTTCAATCCTTACAATTCGTCCGCAGATTCTGGAGTAGAATATTTCGTTGCCGCGGACGTGGAGAGGGGCTTTCTTTCAGTCATGTTCATGCCCCGACTATGTCCGACATAAGATCCCTTGCAAGCACATGTATTTAGTGTCAAGAACCTATGACGGCTGTGATGTTCAATACATCGCTGCCCCTTCGCGAATTGAACATCAGGACTAGCACGTAGAGTTCGACTTTAAGTCTCCCTCTCGAGAGCTTTATCTTGCCAGCCTTATTACGCCAGCTGATTGTGATGAGAGCTAAAGGGAAGAAAAGAAGAAAGAGAGGAAAGAGGTCACTGCCCAAGCGTTCGAAGAGTGTGAAGAAGAATTAATGGGTCTGTGAAAGAAGCTGGCCCGTATAGCATATAATGGGCAAAAAAGAAAGTGCACATTGAAGGATATGCAAGATTCAGTAGCAGATCTGAGTAGTAATTGATACAATGACAGCTGTGCAAAAAGACAGAAAGAGCAATAAATCAACTTAACTTTGTTTTTGGGCCAAGATTGTGCGACTCCCCCAAATCGTGGTGATGACGTGCATCTGAAGAAAACTAATTTATCATTGATTCGAGGGTCTGGAAGCAAAGGCGATCAAGTAAACACCGTCATTTTTTTCTTGCTAAACTAGCTTCAATTTTAAGGAGTATGCGAAAAGGAAGATGAAGACACAATTCGGTAAGCAAAGCAAGCTGTGCGACCATGAAGCAGGGGCCAAGCTGCAATTGTATTTGTTCTTCCCGGCGGGACAGTGAGATCAAGTTTTATTCCCACAATGGGGAGTAGAAACTCGTTACTTAGTTTTTTTTTTCACTCTTTTTGATCCTTTTTCTTTTTCTTTTTCTTTTTTTTTTTTCTCATTACATTCTTCTTCATTCAACTTCATTCCGTTGCTTGCATTTCTTCGTCTCGTACTTTTTTTTAGCACCTTTCTATTTCAATCCCTGTAGCGTGTGTCGCGTGCGTATCTTTTCATTGTAAATAGTCCTCTGCGCATATTGACACACTTCTCTCTTGAGAAAAAAAAATCGTTCTCTGACAAGACAAAGAAAAAAAAACGCAAGGTATTAGGATCAAACGACCAACTAGTAAAGTAAAAGAAAAACGAAAACGCGTCAATGGATACAAATATTTAAAAGAGCTTTTCCCTCCTTATTTTATAACCCATTAGTTTTGATTCCCTACCATGGATCCAACTCAACAACCTCAAGGGGATGGTCAGGCCAACCTTCAAGAGGCTCCTCACCTCGCTGACCTTGATCAGCCCAAGCCGCAGGTACCAGGAAAAGCACAGCTTGATGATGCGGTCGGAAGAGCTGTAGGCGGTACAGTGATCGCATCCGATATTAACCCTTCGGCCTTGCCTACTGCTGCCAAGCTTGACGCGGAGCTAGCTGAGCGTCTAGTAGAACAGCAGCCTCAGGCTCAAGCCAACATCGAATCAACACAGATAAACAAGCCTGGTGATGATAAAGCAGCGGCGGTGGATGACAAGAGTAAAGATAAAGGGAAAGAGAAGGACGTCAAGAAGGATGATCCGAATAATAAGACAATAGGTGCCTACCCAGTCGAGACCCGTATTGGTTGGCTGGAGGCTTACAAGCGCACAGATGGGCCACAGAATGAGTTCCGCGACAAATCCATCTGGATGGATGAATTTGCGAGTAGTGCACTCTATGGAGCCTTTTGGCATAATGCGGCTGTTGTCATTATTCTTCCCATTGTTTGTTTTATCGTATTCAAGCTGGGTGGAGGGCTTGTCTCTTTGATCCTCATCATCGCCTTTGGAGGTATTTAAAAAAAAAAAGAATACTGCCAGAAAAAAGGCAGCTTAGTTTTTGTTGCTTACTGCTTCTTGGATCTTCTCTTCATTATTAATTTTTTTTTTCCTTTTAGCAACATATTACAAAAATTCAATTCGTCGCTTCAGACGCAATGCCCGTGATGACATCACACGTGAGCTTATTCGTAACTCGGTAATGTATCAAAGCCATTTTTTTAAAAAAAAAAAAAAAAAAAAAAAAACTTCCATCCGATAGACGCTAATTCTAATAAGTCATCCCTTCTTTGTTTATAATCTATACGCCAATTAGCTGGAAGACGATGCGGAATCCACAGAGTGGATCAACAACTTTATGACCAAGTTCTGGCTCATTTACGAGCCAGTGTTGAGTGCCTCTGTTGTTCAGACTGTAGATGGTATTCTGATTGATCAGACACCAGCATTCTTGGACTCCATTCGTCTAACCACCTTCACTCTTGGAACCAAGGCTCCGCGTGTGGATAGTGTCAAAACTTTCCCTAAATCTGATCCCGATGTTGTGGTACGTGATCACAAAAGAAAAAAATTGTAGTATTAAATTGAGGGTTTTCGATGCTTATGCTTTTTTCTTCTTAAAAAACAGCTGATGGACTGGAGAGTGTCATTCACTCCAACGGACATTGAAGACATGACCCCAAGGCAATTGCGCGCGCAAATCAATCCTAAGGTCTGTTTGACTATCCGTGTTGGAAAAGGCTTTGTCGGAGCTGGCATGCCCATCCTTGTCGAAGATATGTCATTCAAGGGCTATATGCGCTTCAAGATCAAACTGACATCTAACTTCCCCCACATCAAGAGTGTTGATTTTTGCTTTTTGGAGCCCCCAACCATTGATTATGTCCTAAAACCTGTCGGTGGTGAGACCTTTGGCATGGATATTGCCCATGTAAGTTTTTCTTTTTTTTTTTTTTTTTTTTTTTTTCCTTCATGGACGATTAGTTCTACCTATATATTTATTAACATGCCCGCTTTCTATAGATTCCTGGTCTTCATTCTTTCATTCGTGATCAAACACATGCCATTCTGGGCCCTATGATGTATGCTCCCAATGTCTACACATTGGACATAGAACAGATGATGGCAGGTGCAGGAGGACTAAGCTCTGCAATCGGAATTGTCCAGTTCACTATCTACAATGCCAAGGATCTCAAGAATACCGAACTAATTGGAAGCTCCGATCCCTACGTTAAGATTCGTCTTGGAAACCGTCCAGATATTGCCTCTACAGCAGTGCAAAACAACACGTACGTATCCTGTCATGGTATTACTTTAATTTTATCTTCGTGAAGCATGTCTAGTGACCGTTTTCTAATACAACAATGTAGCCTTAACCCCGTTTGGAACGAAACCAACATCATTTTGCTCCATAATTTGAACGAAATGATCTGCATGGAGATATTTGACAAAGATAAAGTTGGAAAGGACCGTCCCTTGGGTCAGGCCAATTTTGATTTGAAGACGTTAGAAGATCATCCAGTTCAGGACGACGTCTGGTGCAAGGTATTGAGAAACGGAAAAGAACGCGGCTCTATTCGAATCCGTGCCGCCTTCTTCCCTGTTCAAGTATCGGAGCCATCCCCAGATGGAGGAGAGCCCATCCCTATCGAGTCCAACTCTGGAATTATGACCATTAAATTAGCTCAGGCCAAGGATATTGTCCGTGCTGGCAAGACCAAGTCATTGTGCAAGATTTCACTCAACGGTCGAGTTGTGCATGAGACAAAGAGACTGCATGGCGCCAGCCCTGCTTGGGGATCCGACGTTGATGTGTTTATCACGGACTTACCAGCTGCTCAAATTACTGCTGAGGTTGTTTCAGAAAACGATGTGATTGGTTCATATAATGTTCCCGCTACTAAGCTGTTGCAAGATACTGACAATAAGGTTGAATGGGCATCTATGACCGGTGGTGAAGGCACTGGTAAGATTAAGATGACTGGAATCTGGAAACCTATCCTCTTGGGCGATGGCCTCAACCCAAGTATCCACAAGCCAGCATTTGGTGTCTTGCGTGTACAGTTGTTTGCTGCACGTGGAGTTCGGAATGTTGAGATTGGAAGCAGCTCTGACCCATATGTCATCATTTATGGAGAGAAAGGCATTAGTCGGGGACGCACCAAGACGATTGAAAACAACTTGAATCCTGTCTGGGGTGAGATTCACTATGTCCCAGTCAACTCGATGAAGCAAGCACTCGAATTCGAGGTTATGGATTTCCAAAAGGTTACAAAGGATAGATCTCTCTTGGTAAGACATCGTTCCATGTTAGCGAGGTCATTGAGGAGCTTCCTGATAAGGCTGGCTACCAGGCGCGCCCAGCAGTAGATAGATGGGCGCCGATACAACAAAAAGATGGCTCCAACAAGGGTGAACTTCACTACGAAATTTCCTTCTTCCCTTCCCTCAAGGTTGCTCGACAGGCCACAGAGAAAGAACGTACTGCTACACCCCTGAAAGCTGCTGCAGAGAGAGAAGAGAATGCCGCTGTCGCTGCTGAAGGTGTTGTGCAGCAACAACAACAAGCAGCACCAACCGCAGCTACAGAGAAGTCTTCATCGCAGGCCCCAGCACAGGCGAATGCTCCTACCACATTGCCACCAGGAACTGTTTCATCAAGTGATGCTTTGGAACATGACTCAGGAATCCTTGTTACTCATCTGGTTAGCGCTAATCTCAATCGCTCTGGTACCGCCTATTGCGAGTTTTATCTGGATAGTGATTGCTACCAGTACAAGTCTCAAAGCCAGAAAACACGTAACCCAAAATGGAATGAGGTTGCGGACATTTTCGTCAAGGAGCTCGAATATGCAAAACTGGTAATCCTGGTCCGAGAAAAGTCTTCAATGGATAATGACGCAGTTATTGCTGAGTTCTCTAGCAACGTTAGGTCCTTGTTGGAGAATACTCCTTCTGAAGGGCAAGATTTCCCTCTTCTCCATGGAGCAGAACAAAAAGGAACTATTCATCTGAGATTCGAATACTTACCCGTACCAATTGAGCTTTTCCCCAAGGAGCGCCTTGATAGTAAGTGAGCATGTATACCTTTCTCTCCTCACTCTCTTTTCTTTTTCTTTTTTTTCTTTTTTTTTTTTAGGGGTGGCAAACTAAACTGTCTAATATTCGATTGCATTTTACTATCCACTTAGACATGGGCAATTTGACCATTCATTTGGTTCGAGCTAAAAATCTCCTTTCAGCTGATCGAAGCGGTGCAAGTGATCCTTACTTCATTTTCAGAGTGAATGGCAAGGAAGTGTACAAGTCTGAGGTCGTTAAAAAGAACCTCAATCCTGAATATAATGAGACATTTGTCCTACCAATTGTATGTTTATGCCATGCAGTAATTATGATTGTATTTCATTCTTTTTATTTATTTATTTATTTTTTTTTTTAATTCTGTGATTTAACAATATCGTTTCAATTTTAATCTAGGCATCCCGCATGGAAGATCAACTATCTTTCGAAGTCTTCGATTGGAATCAAATAGGCAGTGCAAAGTCGCTAGGTGTGGGGGCTCTTGATATTCGTAACATTCAACTTGTATTACCCAATGAATATATAGTTCCTATCTCAAATAAGCATAACCAGGGTGAGGTTCAATTGCGTCTAAAATTCATCCCAGAGTTCCTATCATCAAATAAGCGCAGGAGCGGATTTGGAGCTACTTTCTTGGGTACCGGCATCGGCCTTGCGGCTCAAGGTGGTCAAGCACTTGGACATGTTGGCATGGCAGGCGTTGGCGCAGTAGCAGGCGGCGTGGGTGCTGTTGGTCATGGAGTAGGTGCTGGAGTGAATGCTGTTGGCCATGGAGCCATCAAAGGCGTGGGTGCGGTAGGCAGAGGCGTTTTTGGCGGTCTCTCAGCTGGCGCTTCTGCCGTGGGTCTTCACAAGCGAGCAGACAAGGCAGAATCACATCCTCAAGCAGACGTTGCACATCCCCAAACAGGTGCCGCACCCCCAGCCGTGGATCCTTATACCACTACTAATCAACCCGGTTTAATCGGGCAGCCTGGCTCTTTGATTATTGAAGTCACTGGGGCTGAAGGTCTAATGGGTGTCGATAAGAACGGCAAAAGTGATCCGTACGTCAAGGTGTCCGTTGGTGGTAAACAGATCCTCAAGACAAAGGTCATAAAAAACACCGTTTCGCCTGAATGGAGGGAAGTGACGGATCCTCCTGTAGAAATATCAGGAGGGCCAGCAACATTCCACTTTTCGGTCAAAGACCACAACACTCTTGGAGGCAGCAAGGATCTTGGCTCTTGTGACGTGTCGTTGTGGGAATATATTTATCCTGCTACGCAAGATCATCCTGCACAATACAAGAAAGAGTTCTCAGTCCCGTTGATTGGGGCAAGTGGAAAGCTTCATCTTAAATTTGAATTTCATCCGAAGGCATAAAAATCGAAAGATAAATAAAATGAAACACCTTCAATATATTTATTTGTAAATACACCGTCTTTAATCTGATGCTGTGGATGTGATTTAACAACTGGGCGAAAAGTCGCATGATGCGGTCCAAGGCTCTGAACCAGTCATGGTTCCTTCAGCATCTGGCAAACGGAAGTTGGCGATCTTGAAGGACTGGATCTTGTTGTCGTACTTGCTGGCGAAAGAGGATATCGAGTATGCTGCCTTGTAGGGGATGTTTGTGCTCTTTCGGAACCAGTCACCGCTACAGGTTTCGCTAGTATAAAGGGTAATGCTGAATTCTTCATTGTTATAATCTTCGTTTCTGAAGTATAAGGAAGAAGCAGCATCAGCGGTACGCTTTGCAAGGTAATAGCAGTGCTGATATCTCTCAACAGGGCAGATGGTGCATTTGCCCCCAAAGCCGGAATACTCGTAGAATCGAAGTTTGTGTGGATTTTGAGCAACGGAGACATGAGCTTGCAGCAACATCATAGCTGCAATGATAACGAGCATTAAGCGGTGCATTCTTCTATATTGATCAAGATTACAACTTATTGAGTTATTTGCAACATCTTATGGAAAAAAAAAAAAAAAAAAAAAGATGGCTTACGTTAATTTGAGGGGATGCTGGGAATGAGATATAGAAACGTGTAAAGAGGAATGAAGAGAGAGACCTTTGAGGGAGAGAGACGCCGGTTTTATACGTTTTTCTTCCCAACAGGGTAAGATTTTAAGGCCATGTCTTTTCTTTACACAAAGAACGATGTTGTCCCTGGAATGAGGAATGAGGGCGAGGGGAGAGGCAGTATTAAACAAAGGCAATGATTGGACATTCATTCACAGAACATCGTCGCGGAGATTTGAGTCTGCACAACTGCATCATCCAGGTACAACATGTGTATGAATTTTAATAATGCACAGTAGTACAGTACATTTTACAGATAAAAATGTTTTCCCTCGCCCTCGTCTGTGTTTTTTTTAAAAAAAGTAAACAACAGCCCATGGAATGGTAAAACGGGATTTTTTTTTTTTTTTTTTTTGAACGGTGCCCAATCTCTGCTTCTACGAGTCGAAGACAATGTCGCCTTTTGAACTAACCAATTCTGCTTGAAAAACTCAACCATAGTATATATACACTCCCTCTTACTTTATCACCTATCGAACTAGTCATCATGCCTTCAAAGCAGCAAATTAGCAATAGGACTTTATACACAAGGATCAAGCGCCAGTGACATGTTTGATGACATTGAACGTATAACAGACCCTGGTAAGGGTCCCCCAACACAAGGACATGCAGGTCATTATTTTGCTTTGTTTACAAAATTGTACATTTATATATATTTGTATGACAATTTTAATGCTTTATTTAAACGAACAATGAAAAAACAGAGCAATTACCATTACTTCGATACAAAAGAAACAGAGAATCTCCTGATATAATCATGTCTCAGTAGGAAATAGGAAAATATTTGTACAATAATGCTAGTTACCCCTCCTTTCCGAGCTGAATGATATTTAAGACATGCAAGTGTTGAAGTCCCAGAATCCTCCTGAGCTAGAGACGGAAAGGACAACCGCGATCCGGTGGCTTCAGTTGTGCTTTAAATACACAGTCAACAATCGAATAAAAGATTCTCTCCAAGCAATCAGCTGAATTGTAGATGTCATACGTAGACAGAACTCATATTCCCGCTTTATTTTATCTAAAAAGCGTGTATATTACATTCTATCTTTTTTGATTTATCAACAAGCACACCTTTCATTTTATTTTATATTCTAAGTGGCGCCCTGTTGGCTGATCCCTTAGTTGCGAGGCTTGCATGAAATGATATGCGCATAGCTGCATTCATTGCACATACTATATTTGAAGCGGTAGTCTCTGATCGACCTGCTTGGTGTTGTCATTGTTGGCAATGGCACTCCAGTCAAAGGCTTCATCCCTAAGCCTGTCTCTACTGATGCAACTTGATGAAGATCCGCTTGACTAGAGACTGCTTTAGACGTCATTAATGGTGTCGCTAAAATATGCTTGGGTCCCTCGTGAATGGCCAAAGGGCGAGACTGCTTGTTTATAGCTCCACGCTGCTCCAAAAGCTTCCTGTTGGTTTCACTTAACTTATCTACGCCATGAATACATGTATTGCTCGCATTTAGGGCTGTTTGTCCGGTACGCCACCTCAAGAGATATTGATATTGGCCACCATCTTGCACAATCTGCCACTTCCGAATAGAATTATCAGCACACACTGTCACTAGAAAGTAGCCTTCATCAGAGACATTCCATTTAAGCATTCTAGCTTGTTCAGTTACGTATGGGATTACAATCAAACATTGGCCTGACTCTGGATCCCACACTCGCACCGTCCTATCTCCACTGGCCGAGGCAAAATACTTTCCATCGGATGAATAAGCCATATCATTGGGTCCGTGGATATGTCCTTCAAACTTATGCAGTATTGACCCTGAGTCTATGTCCACCACACTGATCAGCCCCTCCATTATTCCAATAGCCATATGTTGACTACATGGCGAAAATGTCAAGCCTGCTGAAGGACTATCAAACTCTATTTCATAACAAAGCTCACCCGTTTCTGCGTCCCATATTCGAAAGATGCCACTGTATACGCCGTGATTCAAAACCAACTTTCGACTGTCAGGTGAATACATAGGACGGAAAGATTCTATCGTAATCTCGTACTGAAGGGCTCCTGTTTGGGCTGTCCATACTCTGAGAATATAATTATCATACGAAGCAATCTGGCGGCCGTTGGGCGAGAATACTACATGCTCCACACGTTTATCATGGCTCTGTAGAGTGCGGATGAGCTCTCCTGTCTGTGTGTCCCACATAGTTACTTTTCCATTGAAATGACCACAGATCATTTGGCGGCTAGTAGCAGAGAAATCCAAGGAGTAGACGACATCACCTTGTTCACCTTGTACTTCCAAGGTACGGATGATTTGGCCTGATTGAGCATCCCAGAGATAGACGCGTAGGCTCTCGTGATAAGAAGCAAGCAACTGACTATCAGGCGAATACTTGATGTAGGATGCGTTTCCATCGGGGCTTTGTAAAACATAAATAGGTTGTCCTGTCCGTGCATCATCCACATGCATTCCATCTCCGCTGAATGAAGTTATCTGCTGACCATCTGGCGAGATTCCAGTTCTTCTGGACGATTTCGGATGGCTATGCAAAGCATAAGTGGAGTGTTGCGGCTGAGAATCCCAGAGGCGTACTGTTCCGTCTCTGCTGAAGGATGCAACCTGATGGCCACTTGGAGAATATGCCACACGGTATATTAGATTAGAGTGTCCATAGAAGATATTCATTAGCTGTGCCGATTTGACGTCCCAAAGGCGAACTGTAGTGTCCCAACTGCAAGTGGCTATTTGTTCTCCATTTGGTGAGTATTTTACATCCTGGATTGAGCTAGAGTGTCCTTCAAGGGTATGTATGGTTTGCCTTGTTTGCATATTTCGCAGGAATACCTTGAATGAGGTAAACGAAGCAGCGAATTTTCCATCAGGCGAATACTGAATGCCACAAACACGCTTATCATGCTCCAGTTCACACAGCTTTTGACCAGATCTAGCATCCCACACAGGCAGTGAAAGATATTGGTCACAACAAGTTACGATTTCCTGACTATTAGGTGAGTACACAATTTGGTCAATTCTAAACTCGCCCATCAGCGCCTTCAGCTGCTGCCCAGATGTTGCATCCCACAGTCGTATTATCGCATCATTTCCACCAGTTGCAATTTGCTTTCCATCAGGTGAATACGCCACACTTCTCACTGCATCAGTATGGCCCTCTAACATGTGTTTGAGCACGCCTGACTGGGTGTCCCAAACTCGCACTGAGGCATCTTCGCTAGCTGAGGCAAGATCGTTTCCATTAGGTGAGTACTCTGCACACAAGACAGGGCGTGTATGGCCCTCCAATCTGTGAACCAATGCTCCTGATGTTGTATCCAAAATTAAAATTGCATACGGATAGCGGCCCCAGGAGGCGACATGTTGACTGTTTGGTGAGTATACAAAGCGATAGCCTGACCCATCATGCTTTAAAGTCAAAAGCTTTTCCCATGTTGATGTGTCATAAATGTTAATTGCATACGCGGTTGATTCATCTTCAATAACTGCAGCGAGCGTCTTGCCATTAGGCGAGTACGATCCTCTATATACTTCACCGCTTACTTCGAGAAGTGGCCATTCACCGAATTGTACGCCTGCCATCTTTGCTTCACTCAAGTCCGCTTCACGAAGCCAACAGTTCCGTAAGTTGACCTTCCTCAGATCTGCTCCTTGCAACTGAGCATATTCGAAGACACCATGACTGAGGTCTGCCCCTGGAATCTGGATTCCTCGTAAGTCTGCATCGATAAACGACTCGCCTGCTCGGATCAAGATTGTCATTGCATTGGCTGCTGCTATTCGCCACATATCATCGCCCTTTGAGAGCTCCAAATATGTACACAGCTGCTGTTTGAACATCGGCTCAAGACGAACACGATCCTCTAGGAACTGAAGGATGGATGGCTCATCTACAAAACTTCTCCATACTAAAGGTGATGTCTCATCGGCTTTAACTAGGTCTACTTCTTGTTCACTCTCTTTGATGTCCATATCTTCGAAACTGAACACCGAGCTAATACTCTGTCGACGAGAAAGCGATGTAGTTGCCTTTGCTTCTTCTTCGCTTGTAAAATCAGTAGTTGCTGGCTGCGGCTCAAATATCGCTCGTACTAGACTATATTCCAGAATAGATCGATGGAGGAATCGATGTTGAATGCCTGTACGAGTGAGTGGTGAAGCCTCACGCAACAGGTTGCTTCTATTCTCTTTGCTGAAATACGCTTCTTTCCATGTACCCTTGTCCTTAAATGGCGAATACTCCACCACAGGGTTGCCATCTTGATGCCTATAGATTGCTATAGCCAGCTCCGTCAAGTACTTGATTCCATTCTGTGCAAACCCTTCATCTGTAAATATCCGGAACATCTTTCTATCTTCCGGCCTTAGTGTCTCGCCTAATCGCTTCTTGCCTCGTTCGAGCCACAGCTCAACGAACTGATCATATAGTGTGATTCGCTTGATCTTGGTGCTAGAAATGTTGCAGCTTGGATCCACCATCCGTGGAAGTACTTCTAACGACATCGATAGAATGAAAGGGTTCTTCACAAGGTCTTGTAGACTAGGAACCATTTTGAGTGCACGTCGATAGTCATCTACACGCCACAGTGGATCCACGACTGTAACATATTGTTCGATATAGTCATCGATCTGAGTTTCATTAAATGGCATAATCACAGCTTCTTGAAATAATCCGGCATCTGCTTGGTGATTGCGGTCCATAGGTTGGAAGCGATCTCGATAGTCTAATCCAAGATACTCGCTGCGACAACTAATCACCATCTGAGCTTCCCACTCTCCAGGCTGGTTCAATCGATTGGCAACATACAAATTGCTGGTCTGCAAGCTCTCGTCATACCCATCACAGATCAAGATGAAGGGCCGATTCATCTTCAGTTCCTTGATCTGTGAGTCTGTAAAGCCATAATCTCGCAACTGCTTTGCAACCAAATCCTTCTCTGGCTTGTCGATGGCTGGAAGGTTGATAAACAGTGGAATCCGGCCATGTCTACTTTGGCATGTATCCCAGAGTGTACGTTCCAGCGCACGGTTGAATGTCGACTTGCCTGCCCCTGAATCCCCTTGGACGAGTAACACTTTGCGGTCGCTGTCCAAGAACTCTTTTACTTTGTCCATCAGTAAGAACAACTTAGTATCGCTTGCTTGAGGACTTGCTTTGGCGTACTGTTGAATGTAGAATCCTTGGTTGTTTTCAGCTTCTACCCGTCGTCTTTTTAGTTGACGCAGGCTGTTTTCGACATCGGGCTTCTTCTGTACACGATCAAGTAAATGTGAAGATGTAGACAGAGGGAGTGTGAAAGTGAAAGGGTGCTGGATCATTGGCTCTTGAAGACAGCTCCTGTACACCTCTTGTTTCTCGAGGCTCCCATGTTTCTCTAGATCATCCAAGAGGGTACCTATGGCTGGAAAGAAAAGGACATGTGTAAGGGATAAATGGACTAGCTATAATATGCTGAGTATTAACAGCATCCAAACACATCTACAGAAAAGAGAAGGATACATACCTTGTAGCCCCAGTGGCAATGAAGACAGTTTCCTAAGGATATGAATGATCCATTGCTTGACATGTACATGGCTGCCCCACTCCTGATCATTCATGTAGATCTCTCCAAGGAATGTGATGGCATCCTGCCTAGCATCCATGCTCCACTGTGCATCAGCTGCAATCTGTCCCAGCCTTTGACATAGTCCCCATTGGAATACTGCATCATTTCGACAAGATGCTTCACACACAAGAGTCTTGAACTTGATCAGCTCGCCTGTCTGGAGTAGTGCATCAGCTACACGTAGTGCTGGATACCACGCAGACCTGCGACTAAAAATAAGTCCCTCTTCCATACATTGTTTGAAAGTTGCTCCACTCTCATATAATGAGGTTGAATCCTTGTACACTTGCAGACTCAGGTCCATAATATCTATTACGGAAGGAAGCTCTTTCTGGATGTTGCTTATCTCATCCATGAACACTTTCATATTCACGTCTTTGACTGCACTCACCACTCCAAACACTCCTCGGAGCACTACTGATGTCCGTCGAAGCATGGATTGCATTGTCGTTTCATCATCTGGGATATATAGTAGAGCTTGGAAAGCATAAGCTGCTTGATAGACCAGATGAGGATCTGGGCTTTCTTTCAGCTGTTTGAGGTATGCTGCAAGTGGCTCATGGAGTTGACCTCGCTTCAGGCCTTTAATCTGATTATTGACCATAGCATCCAGGACATGTGAGACTGTAGCAGACATGCGATAGAGATGGTCACCGGATTGCCCATGTGTGACTCGTAGACGAGAATTAAGAGCATTGAGGATTGATACCAGATCATCTGAGTCAAGGTATCCAGGTGGAGCACGCTGCATCAACTGAGCCAATCCTTCTAGCAAATGAGTCTGCAACATGATATTCCGACTGATTCCGTTGATGAAAGCCATGAGCAGTCTCGTGAATAGACCTCGATCGAGGACGGGAGCAAGAGCCACTACTTCGGCGACTGTAGCCTCAGCCTTGATCTCATCGTTGATGAACATTTCGATCACATCAGATGCCAGTTTACGCAGTCGCTCGTACTCACCTGGATCGTCTGATATGGTCTGGCACCACTTTTTCTCGTGATCATTGAGATCGGTGGTTGGAGCAGGAGCAGTAGGAACCAAGCTAAGACAGTACACAAGCTGATGGATGTCATTCAGGTTTGCATCAATTTTCGGTACGCTGTATCTGACGATTGTAGGAGGTCTATTATTGTTGAATATGTTCTTTGAGATAGTCGCAATGGCCTGCACTGGCAGGGATTGTACTAATTTCACCATCTTACTCAATCTGCCACCATTGACTTCGCTACTTTCTTGCCTTGTGCTGTTGCTGTTGCTGTTGCTGTTGTTGCTGGGACTGTTGTTGTTACTGGTATTGCTGCCATTATTGCCATTGCTGTTGTCTCCTTGGATGTATCCCCATTTCTCAGCCTTTTTATCACGTCTTTGAGCAAGGTTCAAGTGACCCAGCTGTGTAAATAAGCAAGCAAGCTCATGGTAGGCTGAAGCGATATTTTTGCGCAATACTATGTCTCCATTGGAAGTTGAAGAGACTGAAGAGGCCGAAGTGAAAGATCTCTTTCCGGGCCGCTGAATTCGAGACAGAACAGAGTCAGCGTCAAGACATAGCTCCATCACTATCTCGTTGTCATCATCTATAGTGCGAGCACCTTTTATATAGATATCAAAAAGCCTCAGAGCCTGTGCCGGTGAGAGTATACTTCGTGATGGGGTTTCCATAGAGCCAAACATGGTTTAAAACTCTCTTTTCTTCTTTGGATTGATTGTCGTTTCTTTATTCAGAAGAAGAGAAGTTATATTAGATGGTCTGTCATATGTGATAGCTATGAGCAGAAGTTGAATTCCAGGCATGTTTGTGTGTCTCTTACATGTAAAAAAAAAAACACAGCAATTGTGTGGCGTGAGATGGGGGTTTAAAGAGGAAAGAGAGAAAACAGGAATTTTTTTTTTTTTTTTTTTTGATACAACTCCTTAAACCTTAAAAGTCGCCATAGCCATAGTGCCATCCTTTTTGAAGCATAACTCTATTCACAAGGCTACGAGCGCATATGGATGTGGATGCAATAAATGAAGGATGGTATAATAGCTTGGTGAACACTATGTGTAGATGAAAGAGTGCATTTCCTATGTTAATGACTAATACTGTATTTCTTTCAACCATTTAGGAGCAACTTTGTCATGATCGGTCTCTTGCATGGCGAGGAAATGCTATGCTTTTGTCTTGTTGAGTGAATTATAAAAGGAAAGATATTCGTCAGTATGCCAAACTAAAAACAACATCTTCTTCATGTCATTTATTGTCAATCTACTCCGCTAGCGTTTCTGTAGAGGGCGACTACTAGTGGCTCCTCTTGCACAGTTTGCCTAGGAATTTGCCTTTGCAGCATGATGCACTTCGCCTGCCCTTAATGCCCTTAATGCCCTAAATCACTGATCTGAGATCACTTCAACGGTAAAAATGAAACGTGATGATGTGACTGCCCCGAGCTTCATTACTCATATTGGTACGATCCATGGCAGATAGGGCGACTGTGACAAAGAGACAAAGATAATAAAGGTCAAGAAACAAAAGGGGAGGATCTTTATTTTTCTCCTTCTTCTCCCTTCTCTCTTCTCTCTCCATAACTATCCTTCTCTCCTCTCTCATTTAACGACTACCTTTATCATATCCATCACATCATGAGCTTTGCTGCCCGTTCCGCTTTCCGTCAGTTGACTCGTGTCGCTGCCCCTGCTGCCCGTTCCTTCTCTGTCCTGGCTCGTCCTGCCGCCATCGCACATATTCCCCGCGCTGCTGCTTGCAAGGTAAAAAAAAAAAAAAAAGTTCTCATTCAACATGACATTCTTCATGGTGATGCATTTCTTCCAAAAATAAAAAGAAAAATTTCTTTGCCCCTGACTGACTGAAGAATGATAAAAATCGTTATATCCATAGATCGCCTTCAACCAAACTCGTGGCATCAAGACGATGGACTTTGGAGGCACGAAGGAAGTTGTCTATGAGCGTAGCGACTATCCACCCGCCAAATTGCAGGAGACCTTCAAGGACGACACCCTCGCTGTCCTCGGTTACGGTCCTATGGGACGTGGCCAGGCACTCAACCTCCGCGATAACAAGCTCAATGTCATTCTCGGATGTCGCAAGGGCTCTTCTTGGGACAAGGCTGTCTCTGAGGGCTGGGTCCCCGGAAAGAACTTGTTTGAAATTACCGATGCTTGTGAGCGTGGAACCGTCATTATGAACCTTCTTTCCGATGCTGCCCAGTCCAAGCTCTGGAACGAGATCAAGCCGTATCTTACAAAGGGCAAGACCTTGTATTTCTCACATGGATTCTCGGTCATTTACTCCGAAGATACTGGCGTCGTTCCTCCCAAGGGCATTGATGTCATTCTCGTTGCCCCCAAGGGATCTGGTACCACTGTCCGTAACTTGTTCCTTGAGGGTCGCGGCATTAACGGATCTGTTGCAGTCTACCAGGATGTCTCTGGTAAGGCCAAGGAGCGTGCAGTTGCTCTTGGTGTGGGTGTCGGTACTGGCTATCTCTATGAGACCACGTTCAAGCAGGAGGTTTACTCTGACCTCTATGGTGAGCGTGGAGTGTTGATGGGTGCTATTCAGGGTCTCTTTGTTGCTCAATACGAGGTCCTCCGTGCCCGTGGCCACTCTCCTTCTGAGGCCTTCAACGAGACCGTAGAAGAGGCTACTCAGTCACTCTACCCCTTGATCGGTGCCAATGGTATGGACTGGATGTATGCCAACTGCTCTACCACTGCTCAGCGTGGTGCTCTCGACTGGTGGAAGAAGTTCCATGATGCCTCCAAGCCTATTTTCGAGGAATTGTACGAATCTGTTGCTAACGGAACCGAGACCAGGAGATCATTGACCAAGAACTCGGCTCCTAACTACCGTGCAGAGCTCGAAGCTGAATTGGCTGAGATTGCCGACCATGAGATGTGGCGCACTGGCAAGGCTGTTCGCCAGCTCAGACCCGAGAACCAGTAAAATACGGGGTTTCAAGTACACTATATACACTATATTATATACATTTGTCATCCATCATCTCTGCACATCAATAAAAAGATTACTTGTATACTATATATCTTTTTATCTTTTTTTTTTTTTTTTTTATTTGATCAGTTCACATTCACATCTTCCATTAATGATTAATGGGAGAGCCCATGATCTTGATTCTGGTGATATGGGATGCCTCCTAATTGGTCTCTATAATATGGACGACTAATTTAAAAATACACCAGATCAGTCATGCATGATTGGGACAATGCTTAAATTTGTCATTGTGGCTGAAAACCATATGAAAGTGAGCCAGCTATTGACTCAATCCTGTCACAAAATAAAAGCTCCGATGGGTGAGAGATGATTTCCCCACACGCTGTGATTGGCTTCAATTGGCACATGTTGAACTGATAACGGTCAAACAAAGTTGCTGTCTCCTAACTTCTCTCTCTTACTTCTCTCATTCTTTCCCTCCTTCTTTCTCGGTTATACCTCTCCTTTGACATTCTCTCATCCCATTTCATTCTCATTCGCCATGTGGACAACAAGACTCCTCGCGTCGAGTCTCAACAGAGCCACGACACTGGTAACAAATCGTGACTTGATAAACAATCACAACTGATCTTGTGAGACTGAATATGTGTCAGAATGATCTAACAATGGAAAATTAACACCTTGATGTCTTTACTAGCCATCCATGATAGCCACAACATCAGGGATCCAGACAACCCGCATGACGGCACCTCTTTTGAGGACGCCTCAGTTGATCCGTCTCTCATCCTCATCTACATCCGCCATCTCATATAAGCGAAAACACCCTCGCAAACTTCACCCGGCTCTGTCATCTGATTATCTTCATCCAGGCGCACCTAATGCAGAAGAAGCAGTCTCCAGTATTCTCTATAATACCCCGCCCTCTGGAAAGGACAACACGAAACAACGCCATATCTTTAATTGTCTTGTCCAGAACGAACCGGGAGTGTTGAGTCGCGTTTCGGGCATTCTGGCCGGAAGAGGATTTAACATTGACTCATTGGTTGTTGCAAAGACTGAGGTTGCTGATCTCAGTCGAATGACAATTGTTCTTAGGGGTGAATCCTCGACGATCGAGCAAGCTCGGAGGCAGTTGGAGGATCTTGTAAGTCATGCTTGACTAACTGGCAATGGACCAATATACTTTCTTATCACTTTTGCTGCTTTCGTTGCTCATGCAGGTGGATATAAAGTATATAGAATTAGATAATAATAACATGGAATCGCTTGTTTTTTATTATTATTATTATTATTATTTTAGGTTCCAGTTTGGGCAGTCCTGGACTACACAGGCTTCAAGGTGATCCAACGTGAGCTTCTTTTGATCAAGGTCTCGATCTTGGGACCCGAGCATGTGCGAGCACAGATGAATTCGCGTTCACCCAATTGGCAATTACTGCAGGAAGAGGCCGAGGAAGATATGACACCATCGGATGCGCTGCGGCAAACACATGCGCATCTAAAGTCATTGAAAGAGCTTACAGATTTGTTCCAGGGCAATATCGTGGATGTAAGCAGCGATTGTGTGGTGATTGAGTTGTCTGCAAAGCCGGATCGTATCGATTCATTTGTAAAGTTGGTCAAGCCCTTTGGAATCTTGGAAGCAGCAAGAAGTGGTATGATGGCCATGCCGAGATCACCCATTTACGATCGCCATAGCGAGGAGAATGACCAGCCTGAAGAAGAGGGATCAGGTGTTGATGCATCCCTGTTGCCACCTGGATAAAAAGTGAAAATTTATTTAAAAATGTAAAAATAAACTTGGTCGCATTGTAACTTATTGGTGGAAAAAAACAAGTTTTATTAAAAAAGAAAAAAAAAAAAATGATGGATCTGGTAAAATTCTTCGGTAGCTCTTCTTTCTTTTTCTCAAGCTTCCTTGTCTTTGTGCTTATTGCCATCGAGCTCGTGTTTCTCCCCGTTCATGTGCGGTCGATTCTTGAGAGCCTCTTCACGTCTTAGGACATGGTATCGCTCTGGATGAAGATCTTTCATGTGCCACCAAAATTCCGTCACACCACTGAACCAGAATCCGCGACATTTACCTTTTTCGTTTATAAACCTTGGGTCCACCTTAGTGGTGAAAATCATTCGCTCCATTCTCCGGTCCAGAAGCTCCAAAAACTCTTCAGCCGCTTCCTTTTTAATTTCTATCGATGCCACATCTTTTTCCATCATGTACGAGAGTGCACGAATGGCGTACATGACTTGTACTTCGATGTTACTTGTTAATGCATGGTGAGCTATTTTAGATAATAAGAAAGAGATTTAAAAAGAATAATTTAAGGAACAAATAACAATAATAATAATTACAAAAACTCTTACCGATACCGGAGTTTGGTCCCCAAATCAAGAAAAAGTTTGGAGCATCAGGTACACAAGTGCCATAATAAGTTGTCGGACTATGGCCCCAGCTCGTTGCAATGTCTACGCCTCCTCGACCAGTCCAGTACCCGACAGGGTAGCCCGCAAGCCAATTAAATCCAGTTGCCAAGATCAGCACGTCCAGTTCATTCTTAGATCCATCCTTTGTTTCGATTGTCTTGCCACTGACTTTGACAATTGGATCTTGATGGAAATGCACATGGGGGAGCTTGAGTGCTGGGAAGAAGGTATCGGACAAGACCACACGCCTGGAAGCAACCTCATGACGTGGTGTAAGCTTTTCTCTCATTGAACGATCAAAGGGAAACTGTCGGAAACGGTGAAACCAAGTGACAAAGTAGACGATGGCTCGATGAAAGACAGAATACCAGGCCAACTTATGATATAGCAGTATAGTCGAGTCAACGTAATAATACCAAAACACTCGGTAGAGTGTGTAGAAGAAGGGAACATAGTGGAACAAGAACTTCCAGATACGATTGTAGCTGTAATTGAGTTGAGGTGTGATGTGTGATGGTGAGCGTCCATACACTTGCAGAGACTGCACTTTGTTGGCAATGGCAGGCACGATCTGAATGCCGCTATAAAATTTCATTGTATTAGCAAAATAAAATGATAATAATAATAATAATAATAATAAGACTCAGTATGGAGTTTTGTTTACCTGGCAGATGCTCCAACCACGCCAACACGCTTCCCTGTCAAATCGACCGAGTGGTTCCAGCGAGCCGAGTGCCATTTGGGACCATCGAATGCCTCAAACTCTTCTGGGATTTTAGGCAACCGCAATAAGCCGGCCGCATGAAGGACTACATCCGCCTCATATATATTCTCCACTTGAGCTTGATGATCGAGACTGCCATCAGCATCTTCAGCTGCTTCGCCTTGACTTCCAGGGACTTTTACCCAGCGCAAGATCCATTTGTTACGGCCTTCGTCCCATCGCATACTTGTGACCTGGGCGCGGAATTGAATCTTATCATAGATATTAAAAGTCTTCGCAGTGGCTCGCAAGTAGGCCAGAACCTCGGACTGGGGGACAAACTTCTTGGAAAAATCATAGTTGGGAGCGAAAGAATAGCTGTAAAGGTGGGCGGGAGCATCGGACTGGCACCCAGGGTAGGTATTGTTGAGCCAGGTGCCGCCAATATCGGACTCTAATTCGAAGACTCTGTACGTTGTCAATTGGAGCTTTCGTTGTAGCTGAATAGCTGCGCAAATCCCAGAGAGTCTGGATGATTAAGGTAAATATCTATTAGGATGGGTTTTTTATATTTTATTTTATTGTTTTATATCTGTAAGGAACGTAAATGAGCTATCGCTTCTTTTTTTTTTATTTTACCCTGCACCAATGATGGCAACAGTAGGCGTAGAGCCATCCGGGAAGGTTTTTGTCAAACCCATGATAAAATTGCTTAGAAAAGTGTGGGAACGATTAATGCGAATGGAGAATGAATGAAGAGAATTTGAATTGAGAAAGTGACGCTTTTCATGTCAGCCCATTCAATAATCAAGCACTCCCCTCTTAGGAAACAAAACGCATAGTAAGGATGTTTGCATTGCCACACAGACAGACGGCGCTGATGAACAGTAAGAACAATTGGGTATTGCTTGAACCGTGCACCATCCATTTCCTTTTTGGACAACAGAGGCATGTGGGCTTGTTAGAGCCATAAACCTTGTACGTAAAAAAGAATTCAACTCCAGACAAGTGCTGCGGGAGGCTTGAGTGGAATCCGCAGGAATTTAAGGTTCCGCAAATTTGGAAATAAAATATATAATTTTCCTTTAATGATTTTCTTTGTAAGCATGGTCTAAAAAAATAAAAATAAAAAAAAAGGGTATAAAGAGAAGCTGCCGAACATCATCTTCACTTTCAATCTTTTTTACGCTTTCATACTTTTTATACCCAAACCGATTTTTCACCAACAAGCACTCACAACTACCATTCTTTTCAACAGCAGCAGCACCAGCAGTACAACTTTGCATCAGCAATCTCAATTTTCCATGACTGACGTTCTCACCTTCACAGACTCTGCATCAACCGCATCTTTTAATCCACACTTTGTAGAAAATAACATTACATCGACGACCACTACTACAACAACAACAGCCAGCAATAATAACAATAATAACAATAATAACTCTCGCTCTCGCTCTCGTAGGACCCGTTCTAACAGATCTACCCCATCATCATTTGCACGCATCGACGACAACAATGAAGGTGGCATCGAGACCAACTCGAGTCAATCATCGCATTCACTCGCAAGCTCACATATACGCCCAAGTCGGCAGCATTCACAGCCCACGGTGTCAAATAACAACGATCGGCGAAACGATAGTCGCCGGAAGGGCAAGAGAGTTGATCGAAACAATGGTATAGCCTCACAGAAAGATACGCCAGTGGCAATCAACTCTAATTCATCCCCGCATAAACATCAATCCTATAAAACTGAACGAAATAACAACAGCAGCAGTAGTAGTGGCAGCAATAACAGACGACAGCGATCACAACGAAATGAAGCCTCTAATCGTATTCTGTCCTCACGGGGATCGTCGCTATCGTCACCAATTGACTCAACTGCAGATGTACCAACAGCTTCAGGCCCCTCACAAATTCCTCATCAGAGACATGCTGCGAACAACAGCAGCAAAAATAACAAAAGACATGTGCTTCGGCAACCACCCAAGTTTGTAAATAAAGTAGAGGAAGATCGCAATTTGATGGAAGCACTCACAGTTGGCTTGACCAACTCGACCTATGAGTGTATGGTCTGTTGGGATGTTGTCCGCCCAGCCCATAGGATCTGGAATTGTCAGGTTTGCTGGGCAGCTTTCCATCTTGATTGCCTCTCCACTTGGGCTAAAAAGTCATCTTCAGGTATGCAACAGATACACTCGTTTGAGATAAAATATCAATAGAGAGCCTTGTCTAAAGTGTACTAATCAAAAAGCTGTGTGTATTTTTTTTTTTTTTTTTTTGGTTCACCACATACAGATTCTAATGGCCATGGAGAAGGTTGGCGATGTCCAGGTTGCCAAAATACTCAAATCTCGCTCCCTAAAGAGTACACTTGCTTCTGTGGCAAGACAGCCAACCCTGAATACAATCGATACTTCACCCCTCACTCCTGTGGTGAACTCTGTGGACGCTCTAGAGACTGTCCTCACTCATGCAGCCTGTACGATACTCATGAAATATCTGTGGGCTTTTACATAATAACCGTATGTTATTCACTCATCAGAGCCTAACTTTTGTATTTTTTTCTTCTTCTTCTCTATTTGCTATTAAATAGTCCATGTCATCCTGGTCCATGTCCTCCTTGTAGTGGCATGGGCCCTACTCAATCATGCTACTGCGGCAATGAGACTTTCCAGCTGCGCTGCGTCGATACTGATTTCACTTTTCAGACCGGTCAATCCTGTCAAAAGGTCTGCGGAGAACTTTTAGGGTGCGGGAAACATTCCTGTGCATCCGTTTGCCATCCTGGACTCTGTGCACCCTGTGAGGAGGAAGAGATCCAACACTGCTATTGTGGGAAACACGAGCGTCGAGCACGCTGTGGCGAAGGAGAGCCCAGAAAAACTTTAGTGGATGGTGACGAAATTAATGGGTTCTTCGAGTGTAAAGAGATTTGTAAAAGGTAAAAAAAAAAAAAAAATTCTACTCATCAAAGGTCAAAGGTTGATTGCTGTTGTTGACATTATTACTAATACATATCGATGTTTTTCTTTAATAATTGACAGATTATTTGCATGTGGTCATCATGAATGTACCAAGAAATGCCATCCCATCAGTAAAGAACCAAGTCAATGCCCAGCTTCGCCTGAGCTTGTTAAGACTTGTCCATGTGGAGCCAAGCCAATCTCACTGCTTTTGAATAAGGCCCGAAAGACTTGTATGGATCCTGTTCCTGTCTGTGACGGAGGCATTTGCAAGAAAGTGCTTAGTTGTGGACACCAATGCATGCAAAAGTGTCACACCGGAAAGTGCGCACCTTGCAAAACTGTTGTTCGGCTGGATTGCCGATGCGGATCCACACATGTCGAAAAAGTCTGTTCTGACAGAGGGCTCTACCAAGATAAGCAGCTGACTTGCGAAAAACCATGTCGAGCTCTCCGGACTTGTGGTAAACATCAATGCACAAATCGTTGTTGTCCAGCCAAGAATCAGAAGCAGTCCAGGATCTCGCAAGAGAGCAACTCAACTTTGATGGAAGCCCACGCTTGTACATTAGTCTGTGGTAAGAAATTGCGCTGCGGGGTCCATACTTGCGAGATGTCCTGTCATAAAGGGCACTGCAATCCGTGTCTTGGTAAGTTTTTTTTTTTTTTTTTTTTTTAATAGTAAAAAGAAATGTGAGTGCTATCAGAGTTGTGCTCAGTATCTGACTTTAGCTGTA